CTGCAGAAAGGAAAGATGCTCTTTAAGTTAAGCCCTCATCATATAGCCAGGATTAGTACATACTAGGACATAATGTTAATGAGTAGTGGATTAACAATTCACCGGTGCAATTCACACACTAAATTATGCTAAATAAAGAATTAATTTCATTTTAGCCTCCCTTTTTAAAATCAGGCAAGAAACAAATTTCTTTTAACAATAATCCCACACGAGGCAGCTTATTCTTTAGCAACGGAATTTTCACCTTTTCCAGTGGCCGACTCACGGCTCTAAATTCCTTATGGGTCACCAAGCATGCTACCATTTCAAATGTTAGCTATAGTTTAATTGTACTGTACAAACTTATAGTGCATTTTACAAGATATTAATGAACAAAGATAAAGCAGGCAAATGACTTTGAAATATTTCCTCTTGCAGCCAGGGTTGAAGTCTAAGGTCATTTTTCACTCACACAGCTCAACAGCAGACTTTTACCTCTTTAGTGTTCAGGAACCACAATACAATACCTAGTTGGACACAGTTTTAAGAAGTCTAAACCTTAGGAAAATCATTATTTTCTTAATATAATAGTTGGGACTGGCACAGAAACAATGCCAATGCTTACAGGAAACCAGAAAACATTTTAAGTGGAAGTGGAAATGTCCATACGACTGTGTATTTCCATTATTGCTAACAATCAATTTGCAACTTACAACCTCTAGCAGAAAACTACTCGCCCTTAAATCAATATTACAAATGGCATAAAGATTCCTGTAAATAAGACTAGTCTGTCTGATCTTGATATATATTTGGTTATACAGTTCCAAACGAACATTTCAACACTAAGTAATTTTCTTACTACATTAGTAACAGTATCATCGACTGATAAATTTGTTTTGTGGCAAGAAGTGAAATATAATTACTAAACAAAATGTGATAAATTGAATGAGGAGACTAGAATCTTAGCTCAAGAACTAGCAAAAGAAAGGAGAATATCTTCTAGCAATTAGGCACAGTGAAAAATCAGTAGCACTTTGAGAAATTTATCCATAGGGTTTCAGGGAGAGAGTCGGTGAAGGACCTGATTCCTTCTCTACAGGCTGACCCCCCTCAAAATTTTCCTACACTGCACAACCTCATTAGCAGTTTGGAAGTTCAAGAGAACATGATAGATTTTTACACAAAATGAGAGCCAATTTAGCATGAAGTGCTTTCGAGAAGTCATTTAGTAAATATTCTTTTTTGTTATTGTAGATGAGCAGTTTGCAATTGAAGCAAAGGAGAATATATCAACAATAGATGAAGATAAAATAACCTTTTAACAAACTGATATTCTTTCATCAGATGAACTGAAATTTTTTACCACGTCTAAACTCAGGGAAAAAAGAATGAAGACAAGAAATTACACAAAACTTTCTACAAAAAGGAGACTAGCACTGTATATCCTTCCAATGTCTGGCTGAACATATGCCTGTATCATCATTCTTACATTCTTACATTTGTTCTTTCCTCACTGTTGTGTTCACACATTGTTGTTCTACTTTTGATTGGGGGACGGGGTGGGAGGTAGTTATGTGGATTCTGTTCTGCCTAATTATGATGCAATTCTACTTAAATGTACCAACTGGACCAATTCTGCAGATAGACATATTTAAAATTCTTGATAATGGTTTAAAGCTCTCATTCTTTTTAAACATTAAAAGAAATTAATGGTTGATTTATTCCTAGTTATGTGGTTGCAAGTTTCAAAATCTGGTCTTACTTCTAAAGTAACTGAATAGCCATGTGTTGTAAAACCTGGAAATCATCACAATATTGGCCAATAAAATCCTACATGCATTGATACCATATGTAACTATTAGGTTACTATAATCAAAAAATAACTAGCAGCACATAATATAGTAATAAATTCAATATATTAACAAACCAAATAAGAGGGGAGAATGTAGATCTATTTTAATTTACAATGCATCCGCGGTAGAATTGTTGTAGCAAGTCACTGAAAACTATATGTAAAACACAATTTGCCATAAAAAAAAGAAAAATGTACACAATAGTGTACACCAAGGTAATTAAACAGAATCAGAGCATCAACATATATTCTTTCGGCACGACAGATACAACAATGGAACTTAGTAACATACATGAAACACTCCTAAAGCTAAGTTGACTAGAATAAATGAACAATTATGGCATGCAAAACAGTTATGAAATTATATCATATGAACAGAATATTACAACTGTTGAAAGCACAAGGAAAGAAGTACCAAAATTTCAGGCTTGAGATAACGCTTATTCTATGGAGATCAGAACACCATCTCATAAAATTATGGTTTGTAAAATCTTAACATGCTTAGCTTAATGGTAATGAAACACTACTCCATCCCTTTTGGCTGAACATCTGACAAAATGAGAATGAAATACTAGAAAGATAATTAAAACTGTATAAAGAAATAACATCAAGAGCAAATACACTAAAGCATTTATACATAACTGTTAGCTGCTTTACACAGAAACAAAA